TCCTCCTACGACAAACGGCTCGCACAACACCGAGCCTGCTCTCGAGGGCCCCAGGCCGAAGGGGCGAAGGGACCCTCGATCCTCGCAGGCGAGAACCATGCTGGACCTCTCCCGGGGTGCGTTCTGACAAGGACCTCGAGGCGAATCCAGCGGTGGCCACGAGGGCCTCCCAGGAGGGCGAAAAGGGGGAAAGCGAGGCAGGGGTAGCGGTATGGGTACCTTTTTCCTCCTCCGGAGAGTCGGGCCCCCAAGCCGGACGGACACGGACCGCGCGCGGTGGCCTCGAGACCCCAAGAGACCTCCACGCACGGGCCGTCCAAGCACGGTCCCCGGGCTTCGGAGGCCTGGGCCGCCCGAGAGGCGTGTTCAGAGAACGGCCCAGGTCCCGGATCCCCACCGGTGCACTCCAGTCGAAGTCTATAGTGAGGACGGGCGGTGCGGACGCAAGGGCCTAGGACGCCGCAGCTGGCGCTTTTTCGGCGGCGGGCTGCCAACACCCTGACAGGCTGGCCAGCCAAAACCGCGGAGAGCGGGCCGCGGAGGCGAGGACGCAAGGGTGCCCTGCGGACATCCGTGCGTCCTTACTGTGAGTTCTGACTGTACGCAGGGGAAGAGAACGGGGACCATGACCATAAAACTGAAAGCAGAAACGTCGTGTCGACCGCGGTCACTGCCGATTTTGGTCAACGCCAATTCGTGGAAGATCCTCGCGAATCGGCCACAGCCGACACGGACCATGACCAAGATTGGCGTCGACAAAGTCCCGCGACATCTTGGAGGGCGCGCCGTTGGATGACCCCAGAGGGGGGGGGACCCCCCCCTTTCCACGATCCGTCGTCGGGGACCCTCCCCTCCCCCCCTTTCCCGATCCGTCGTCGGGGAACACCCCCCCCCATTTCCCGGTCCGTCGTAGGGGAACCCCCCCCCTCCCCCGCCTTTCAAAAGGAGAGGGGGTGGGGTCCGAACCCCCCCCCCCTCCCCCCTTTGGCCGCCAAATTCGACCCCCCCCACACCTCCCCCACTTTCGCCACGGCGCCCCCGGTCTCCGAAACCCGACCCCTACCACCCCTAACACTAATCCTCACCCATACCCTAACCTCTAACCCTAACCCCAAACCCAAACCCTAGCCCCAAACAGTACTCACTACTCATTACGCACTATTCACTACCCACGATTCACTACTCGCTACTCACTACTCACTTCTCGCTACTCACTAGCCACTACTCACGACTCACTACTCAGTACCCACGACTCACTACCAACGACGCACTACTCACTACTCACTACTCCCTACTCGCTACTCACTAGTCACTACAAACTACTCACTACGCAATACCCACTACTCAATCCTCACTACTCACTAAACCACTACCCACTACTCACTAATTACAAAGCACTACTCACTACCCACTAACCACTATCCATTACTCACTACTCACACGTCACTACTCACTACCCATTGCCCACAATTCACTACTCACTTACCACTAGTCGCTACTCGCTACTCCCTGCTCCCTACACAGTACTCGCTACTCACTACTCGCTACTCCCTACGCCCTACTCGCTACGCAATACGCACTATTCACTACTCACTACTCACTACGCTCCCACTACTCACTACTCACGACTACCTACTCCCTACCCACTACTCCCAACTCACTACTCCCTATTCACTAGTCACTACTCCCTACTCATTACTCACAACTCACAACTCACGACTCACTACTCACTGTCGCTACTCCCTACTCACTACGCACTACTCCCGACTCACTACTCACTAGTGACTCCTGACTACTCCCTCCTCCCTACTCATTACTCACAACACCCTACTCGCTACTCGCTACTCACTAGTCGATACTCCCTACTCGCTACTCCTCCACGCTACTCGCTATTCGCTACTCACCATTCACTACTCACGACTCTCTACTCACTGCGCACTACTCACTACTCATTCTTAGCTCTTCGCTGTCTACTGCCTCATCCCTACTCCCTGCTCACTACTCACTATGCAATACCCACTACACACAACTCACTCTTCCCTACTCACGACACACAATTCCTTACTCACCACTTCCTTCCCACCACTCACTACCCCCTACTCACTACTCACTAACCATTAGTCTCTACGCGTTACTCACTACTACTACTACTACCACTACTACTACTACTACTACTACTACTACTACTACTACTACTACTACTACTACTACTACTACCACTTCTACTATACTACTACTACTACTACTACTACTACGACTTCTACTACGCCTACGGACTACTACTACTTCTACTACTAACTACTACTACTATTACTTAGGATCTACTACCAACTACTACTATACTATATCTACTACTACTACTTACTACTACTACTTTTTTATTAATATTTTACTTCTTTTTTAAAAAAACGATATTTTAATACTATAAAATTTCTTATACAAACTACTACTCCTACTACTACGACTACTTACTACTACTATTAGCTACTACGTTACTTACGACTACGACTACGACTACAAGATCTATACTACTACAATAACTACTACTGACTCATACTACTACTTTAATTACGTACTACTTATTACTTCTACTACTATATACTACTACTACTACTCCTTTTCTAACTCACTACTACTACTTACTACTCTAAATGGTACCACTGCTACTGCTACTACCTTACTAATTGGTACTATTCTACTACTACTTACTACTACTACTATAATACTACTACGACTACGACTTACGGCTACGACTACTTACGACTTATGATTACTACTTACGTTTTTTATTTATCACTTTACTAACAGTAAGATGTCTTTATTTTTTTATACTACTACTATACTACTATACCTGCTGCTGCTGCTGCTTCTACTACTACTACTACTACTACTACTACTACTACTACTACTACTACTACTACTACTACTACTACTACTACTACTACTACTACTACTACTACTACTACTACTACTACTACTACTACTACTACTACTACTACTACTACTACTTACTACTTACTACTTACTACTTACTACTTACTATTTACTACTACTACTACGACTACTACTACTACTACTACTACTACTACTACTACTACTACTACTACTACTACTACTACTACTACTACTACTACTACTACTACTACTACTACTACTACTACTACTACTACTACTACTACTACTACTACTACTACTACTACTACTACTACTACTACTACTACTACTACTACTACTACTACTACTACTACTACTACTACTACTACTACTACTACTACTACTACTACTACTACTACTACTACTACTACTACTACTACTAGTACGACGACTACGACCCATTACCCACCACTCACGACTCATTTCGCACTACCCACTGTCAAATACCCACTACTCACCAATCGTTACTCAAAACTTTATATTCCCTACTCACTACGCGAGACGCCCCCTTTCCCAGCCCCTTGTTCGGCGCAAAGGCTGGAGGAAGGGGTCGAAAATCTCACCCCACTTTTGAAGGGGGGGGTCTGCGAACACACACACACACACACACACACACACACACACACACCCTTGTGTGTATTCAGGGCCATCCACTGGCGCGCTTTCGACGGTTTGGCCATGGTCCCCGTCACTATTCGGCTACACGCAAGAGTGGCCCTGCGTAAGAAAGACCTGGGGGGCCGCGAGGGGGCCAAACACGAGCGCACAACACGCGTCAGTCGCATCGATTTCGGCGACCAGGGGGCCGAAATGGGCCCGTAGCAAAAGTCGTTCCGGCGAAGGCCCACTCTTACGCGTAGTCGAGGTATTCCCTCGACACCACGCGGAGTGGCCACTACACCGTCTCGGGCACCCCCGAGAACTGACCGAGGGGGAGGCCGCGGGGACAGCAAGCGACCACCACCACATCGAGGACACTTTTGATCTGCAGGACGAGAGCGAGCCTCTTCCGCTAAAAGCTCCGCGGGACGCGCACAGCTTCAATTGGCAGACAAGGGGCAGGAGCAGGCGGGGCCTCACGCGGCCAGAAGCGGGCGAAGCCCGGGGATCAGGCGGTGCCGAACGGGGCGCGCAGGAAAAGGTACACGTTGGACAGGAGCCCGGTGTTGAAGTCCCGAGAGCACATCGAGGACACACACTGGGGGGAGGTTTTGCGCACGCCCCCCAAAAAATGGCGGCACGCCGAAGCCAGCTTGGCACTGGCTGTGGTCGACGTGGCGTCCCAGGACGGCCAACTCGACCACAACCACGGGCAGAGTGTGCTCGCTCGGGAGGCGATACATGGGGAGGCGACGAGTGGGTGGGGCAGCGAGGGCTGCAGAAAAGGGGTCCTCGAGGGCCCCTGAAGAAGCCACCATCGAGCCCTAGAGGTGACTTGGACGGTCCGATAAGGGCACCTGGTCCCACCCCCCACTGGGCGCCCCCTACAAACTCGCGCCCAACTCAACAGAGCCCCCCACTATCGCCCCAATCAATCGCCCCCAAATAATATGCGCTGGACCGGCGCGCGGAGCGCCAACATTTTATGTTTATGGCGCTTTTCCTTCTTCGATTATGCCGACGTCGGCGCGTTCTCCGCCCGAGGGGCGTTCCCGAAAAGCCCACTTGCCTGTGGTTGTGGCTCCCACCTGGTGGGCACAGCATTTTGCTGCCGGCGGTCCCCGACCTGGACGCCAGCACTGTTTCCGACCTGCTTTTTACCTCGTACTGGGCATCGGCAGCGCCCGTGGGTGCACCCACGCCTCGGCCTGGCTGCTGCCACGGCCTCTGCTGCCGCCGCTGGCCGCGCCAGCGCGCGCGTGGGAGTGCCCTCCGCCTGCTCCTGTCCTTCGCGGCCGCCTCGTCCCCCTGTTTCCCCCTCTTGCACGCCGACCGACCAGTTCGCGTGTCGGTCGCCCCGGAGCGCCGCCCGCTGGTGCAGCACTTCTGCCTCGCCGCCGGCCAAAAAAAAGTGGCTGTGGCTCTCTCTCCGTGGTGCCGGGAGTGGCGGGGGGGGGCCGCCGAGCCTGCCAGTGGGCCACCTGCTGCCACGTGCGCGCCTGGCGGGCGCCAGCCCCTCCCTGCGCTCTTCGGTGGCAGCTCATGGGGGCCTGCCACACCATCTTGTCGACTCTTGCGCGTCGGCACGAATCGACGCTGGTCGACGCTCATCGACGCTGGATCGACGCGAATCGACGCTAACCGGCGCTAAACCAAAATCGGCACTCTCTCCCGTCGACTCCCAGACGCGGACCGACGCTAACCGACGCGAAGGACGGAATTAAAAGGGTATACTCGGGAGCGCGCAAACATGGATTAGCGATCCATGGATTTGGCGCGCGGTAGCCAAATCCATGGATCGGGGGAGGTGCCCTCCCCAAAATGCAGCCGGTGCCGCCTCGCTCGGCGGCGGAAATCCGCGATTTACCATGGAAACGAGACCCGTCGCTAAACCACGCCCCCTCAATCCATGCTTGCGATCGCCTGACGAAGGACGGAATCAAGAGGGCATACCAGGCTCCCGTGACTTGCTACCGAAGCGCTCAGCCCCCCCCCCCGTCGCGTGGCCGAGCCCACCGCCCGACGCGATCCGTCCGTCCCTCCCCCCCCAGCCGGACCCGGCCGTCGTTGGTTGAGATTGTGTGCTCCAAACCACCCTGTGGTGTCGGGTCCTCGTTATCATCATCATCCTCATCATCATCCTCATCATCCTCAGCAACAGCATCATCATCATCATCATCATCATCAGAAGCAGCAGCAGCATCATCAGCATCAGCATAATCATCAGCGTCGTTAGCATCGTCACTCCTCATGGTTACCAATCGGACTATCGTCGTCACCAGCATCATCCTCAACATCAGCAACATCGCCATCATCAGCAGCGTACTGATAACTAACGTTAGTATCGGCACCACGATTATCGATAAACATCGTCGTCGACGTCGCCATCATCACAATAAGCATCATGATCATCAGCAGCATCATCATCAGCATCATCGTCGTCATCATCACCATCATCATCATCAGTTTCGTCAGCATCATCATCAGCAGCATCATCACCACCATCATCAGCATCATCATAAGCATCATCAGCAGCAGCATCACCATCATCATCATCATCATCATCAGCAGCATCATCATCACCACTGTCATCATCATCATCATCATCATCATCATCAGCATCACCATCAGCATCAGCAGCGTCATCATCCTCATCTTCATCATCAGCATCAGCATCATCAGCATCGTCAGAATCATCATCAGCATCGTCAGCATCATCATCACCGTCAGCATCATCATCAGCATCATCATCAGCAGCAACAACGTCATCACTATCATCACCATCATCATCATCGTCATCATAATCATCATCATCAACTTCTTCATCATCATCAGCAGCATCATCATCATCATCAACATCGTCGTCAGCATCAGCATCAGCATCAGCATCAGCATCAGCATCAGCATCAGCATCAGCATCAGCATCTTCATCACCATCATCATCATCATCACATCATCTCATCCTCATCATCATCAACATCATCATCATCATCAGCATCATCAGCATCATCATCATCATCATCATCATCATCTCACCATCTTCATCATCATCATCATCATCAGCAGCAGCAGCATCATCACTATTCTGGAGCCTCGGGCGGCGTTGAGCCGCCCCGTGCCTCCGGGAGCGTGGTGCGAGACTCCGGAGGTGGAGCTCTGACGGCAGGGGAGCCCAGAATCGATTCGATAAGTCGGCTCGGCGATCGAAATGAGTCGGCTCGGCGAGAATCGGCAGCCGAGTCGGGAAAAGTCGAATCGGCGGAAATCGGCAGGCCAGTATGCGTCCAATAGGGCATCGGAGCCCACGTCGGAATCCGAAATCGAATCGAATCGGAACCGGAATCCATCGAAGTCGAATCGCATCAAATCGGAGGAATCGAACCGAGCCCTGTCTGACGGGCTGCCCCATGCGTTCGCGGCGCGCTTCCTCCACCCCGGCCTCTCCCAGAAGGGGCCGCTCGCGGGCGCCGCTTTTCCGGACCCCCCCCCCCAGGACCACGAGGAGAACGGCCATAGGGGTAGATAGGTCGGGCCTGTCCCCCCTCCTACAGGGGGATTGTGGGCGACAGATTAAAAGTAGTCGCAAAAAAGACTCCCAAAATGCTGCTCAAAAATAGTCCAGAAATCGTCCCCAGACTGTGTTTGGACTGTTACGGGATACTCCTCCTCTAGAAGGACAGGCCCGACTGAACGATAGGGGGAGGGGAGGGTCGGAGGAAGATTTGAACGCCCGAAATGGGTACGGAAAAAATTGGTACAATGCCCAACAACACATGTTGTCCCAAACCAACAGCGGCCGCTGTTGGGCAGACGGCCTTCTGTCTCAAATGGACACTGGCCGCGGCGGCGCGGACAGCGAGTCCTGCTCAAAATGAGCAGGAACTGCTGCTGGGCACTTGTACCCAGTCTTGCAGTACCCACTGCGTGCGTGCAGAGGAGCTTGCCGTCGCTCGGACGTCCACTTCCCGTGCATTTTTCGGCTTCGTGCGTGTTTTATTGTGCTCGATGGTCCAGGATGGTCCTCGATGGTCCTCGCCGAGAAGAAAGGCACACGTCCGAGCGATGCCGAGAGAAGAGGAGCAGGGGAAGAGAAACGCCGGCAGCCCGGAGAGGCATACCCAGTCTTGCCGTACCCATTCCGTGCGTGCAGAGCAGAGGCGACTCTCTCTCCCAGGGGAGGAGACCCCTCCTGGGCCCTCGAAGAGCGGACAGCGAGTCCTGTTCAAAATGAACAGGAACTGCTGTTGGGCATTGTACCTATTCTTTCCGTACCCATTGCGCGCGTGCAGGGGAAGAGGAGCAGGGGAAGAGACGCGCCGGCGGCCCGGAGAGGCAAGAAGAAAGGCGGGGGAGGGGGGCCCAGAGCTCGGGCTGCCCTCTGGGAGAGCGGCCATGGGCAACAAAAGAGGCGACACGGCGACCTCCTGCGAGGCGGGGATCCACGTTTAGCTCGGGCGCGTCCCCCCTCCGGGGAGATTTTGGGCGGAAGATGCAAGAAGATACCCCAAACATGCTCCAAAATGCCCCAAAAAGACTCGAAAAACCGTCCGCAGACTATTTGTTATTGTTTTTGAGTATTCCTCCTGTGGAGGGACAAGCCCGACTGAAATCTATGTCCGACGCTCTGGGACCCCAGCGGGCGGTGAACGTGTTGCGGGTGAGCTGTGCTACGCTGAGAGGCCGTCTGGCCCCCCATGGGGGCGGGCTCGTGGCGCTGCTCGCGGCGCACTCCTTCGTCGACCTCCTTTGAGGTCCCCGGCCGCCTGGCCGTTTGCCGCCGGCTGTCCGCCTCGACGAACGGTTGCGCCAGGACCCTTATAACCAGCCTCAAACGAATCCCTATCCCTAAGATGGGCGAGCAAAAAGCGAGGACAATCTTAGGGATAGGCCCTCAAAAACTGAGGGAATCCTTACGATCGGCATCGAGGCGAGGTGATGTCAAACATAGGGATAGGGATATGTTTCAAACTGGTAACCCTAGGGGTTCGAAGCATTCTGTCCACAGCCGCCGCCTGTCAAGGGTCTCCGCAGATCGATCCGCCGGGCGGTGGACCTGTACAACTCCCGGCCTCGGACCTCTGGCTTCGCGGCATGCGGTGCGGCAGCCGCGGCGTTGGCGCGTGCCCGGGCTCTCCGCCGCCCCCCCGAGAGCGGCGCGCGAGAGATCCCTGCAGCAGAGGGCCACTCCCGCGTGCGCGCGTGGGAGGGCCTTGAAAGTGTGCACCAAGTTAGGCGGCGCACATGGGGGGGGGGAAGTGAGAAGGGGCGGGCCTTCTCACAAGGCTCGGAAGTCCCCTGGCCTTCGGAGAAGTTTGTCTAAGCCTTCCCCGAAGATGCAAAACACTTCTCAGAAGGCGCGGGGGGTTCTGAGAGGTGACGCCGCCTTCTCAGGAGGCCTTCCCCTTATGACTTCCCCCCCTCGCTCGCCGCCGACAGGGCGTCTGATCGGCCAGGCAGCTGGGCGGTGCCATGGCCGACCAAACGACGCGGTGTATACATCGGGCGCCCTCCGAGTGCCGTCGATGTCATCTGACCTTCCCTTGGAGTCTCCAAAGGGGGGCTTCGCGGCCACAGCCCGGGTCCGCCTCGAGGCCCTGGTCCGGGCGTGCCCCCCAGGACAGGTCAGGGAGGCGGCTCCGCGGGGCCGCGGGAGCGGGGAGAGAGAGAGCGGCCCTCCTCCTTCTGGGAGGCAGAACGCTGCCGATGCCGACAGCGCTGCTCCGCGGACCGCTTCTGGGGTGCGCTCTGACCAGCATTTCGAAGCGAATGCAGCCGCGGCGACGAGGGATGAGGAGAGGTATCCGTACGTGTCCCTCCTCCTTATCCTCCTCCTCCTCCACACCACAGCGGCTGCTCCTTCTCCCTCCTCCCTCCCTCCTGCTCCTCCTCCTCCTCCTCCTCCTCCTCCTCCTCCTCCTCCTTCTCCTCCTCCTCCATTTTTAGTTATAAATAACACCAAAGAAAAAACCCATAATGTGGATGGTTTTCGCTGGGGAGATCGACCGGGAACAGGGGAGCCGGGGAACCCAAAACCCACCCAAATCGGCCCGGAACCAATAACCGGGAACCCGGGAACCCGGAACCGGGAACCAGGGAACCCAACCTGCTACCAAAATCGGCGGGAAACGACCCCTTCAGTGCAAGCACTGATTGGGGAATAACTTCTCCCTGTCGCACCCCGAGGCCAGTTTTTAGGGCGGACTGGGCGTTTCGCCCGAGACGTCCTCACCATCTATGACTCCGAAGCTTAAAACATGGCAAGAGTTTGACAGATGGAGGGCGGGTGGTTTTCAAAATGTGGCTCTCGCCTCAGCGCCGCGCACATTCGTTTTAAAAATTCGCAAGGGCTTCACGGATTGAGGGAGGCTCCTTTTCAAAATGTGCGCCTCAACGCCGCGCACATTCGCTTAAAAATTAGCCTGACGAGGGACCCAACCATACGCAGGTGCGAGTACCGCAATAGTGA